CTTGATGTGTACGTATGGGAACACCAAGTGATTCAAGGGCTGTAGAATGCAGCACGGTCTTGAAAGCAGTCCAGTGTGCCTCAGCGTCTGTATGCTCGAAGCTTAGAGACTCCAGGTGATGGTCTAGAGCAGGGGTCGGCAACCTACGGCTCCGGAGCCGCATGCGGCTCTTTACGGGCTGCTTCTTAACAGATGCATTGCGGCTCTTGAAATACTGAATTTTGTACCGAATTGGAAAGAAATGGCTCTTCTTGTTATTTTGGTTGCCGACCCCTGGTCTAGAGCCTAAACAAAGGCCAGTCTGGTGTGTTCATGTTGTAGGCGAGTGATGTTAAGACGCTTGACACGCCTTTTTCCTTGAAGGCGTCTGGGAGGCTTAATCCGGATGTTAAGTTTGGAGATGATGAGGCGATGGTCAGTCCAACATTCAGCACCACACATTGCCTTGGTCACCCTGACATCGTGCCGGTCGCTCCTCCTCATGATGACGTAGTCAATCAAGTGCCAGTGGTGTGAACGAGGATGCATCCGTGAAGTTTTCTTGCGCTTTGGTAGTTAATTCATCATTGTGCCAAGGTTGTGCGCGCCAATCCTGTTGTTGTTCATTCATCGTGTCTAGGTTTTGCGCGCGAATCCTGTTGTTGTTCATTCACCATTGTGCCCGGTGTTTGCGCGCGAGTGCGTGTTTGCCCCACGCGTTTTACGCAGTGGGGTCTCGTTGCGACGCTTGCCTTAAGGGTGTCGGCGGGTGCGTAATTCAAGCACATGTTGCGGCTGGTGGTGGTAGTGGTGGTACTGGTGGTGCTGCTGGTGGTGGTAGTGCTGGTGGTGCTGCTGGTACTGCTCGTGGTGGTTGTTGGTGGTGGTGACTGCGCCCGCACCCGCGCATATTCATATGCCTATTTTTAGCGCGAGCCGTGGGCAGCAGCGTGCATGGGTACGCGTGCGCCAGGAGTCACCTCTGAGCATTTTAGGGGAGTGTCCGTGGGGAGTGTGTGGATAACTCCAGGCGGCGGAGGGCCAGCCTCGAGCTATGCCCCAGAGCGGACGTGGAGGCGGGGGGGCCGATGACCCGATCAGCGTCAGCGCGGCGGTAAGGAGGGGAGAAGGAAGGGGGAGAGGAGGAAGGGAGCATCGACCCCCACATCCCTCAATAAAATTGTACATTAAAATTTAACTATGGATATGTAATGCGAGCGTAAACGGGGTTTGCTGCTGGGCTCTGGCCCGATCACACGGCCCGGGGTATTGGGGGGCGGAGCCCAGTATGGGGGGCGTGTGGGAGGGGCCGCCATTCACCTCGGGTCCAATTGGAAGCGAGGTGAATGGGGGTGGAGCCAGCAGAGCAGTATGGGAAGGCCGGATCTGACGATCAGGAAGGGGAGGAGTCAGGGTCACGTGGTAAAGAGGATATAGGTGGGAGCCCGGAAGGGATCAGGGTCAGTTGCGGGAGTTAAGAGGCTGTGCCACGTTGGGTGGCCGGAGGGGATCCGCGCCATCGGCCACGTGGCTGAAGGATCTTTGGCACGCCGTCGGCCAGCGGGGTGCGGAGTGGGGGAGCGGAGGAGCTGTTGGAGGAGCGCGCGTGGGCGCGCACGAGGAGACGCTGGTCCGCTGTCAGGACCAGCGGGGTGCGAGGAAGAGCGGAGGAGCCGACGAGGGAGCGCATTCGGGGCGCGCGCGAGGAGACGCTGGTCCGCAGTCAGGACCAGCGGCGTGCGAGGAGGAAACTAAATAAAGACCAACGGTGACCAGCAGTGCCTAACGAAGTCTTTTATTACAGATACATGGGCAAGGATGAAAGTTAAAACCACATTTGCAAACGGTTAATGGGGCAACAAGGCAAAGGCTGTCACCAATTCCAATCCTTGTTTTTGGTAGGTTTAGGTTTCTTGGGTTTGACAATGGGGTTAATGTATTATACAAATATAGCAAAAAATTTGCCAATGCTGTTCATTCATCATTATCATGTTATGCATGGACAGGGCCCAATTTAGATGTAATCTTGCATAAAATAACGTGCTATTGGATTTAGTGTTTAATTAGTAGCTGATCTATAAAGCAGTGTCACAGTAGTCAAAAAGTGGTAGAATGATATAGCTTCAACAATTTTCAGGAGCAATCAGATAAGAATTTTTTTTTGTATTTCTGATTAGCACGGTTAACTACATACAGTGCGAAAGATATTCAACAAATATACATACAGAAACCCATTATTGTCCTTTTCTTGGAGATCAATATAGTTTTTAATCAAAAAGGAAACCCTAGTATTTGAAGCACATTCAGCATCGGGCTGTTGTTGAATAAACATTAATTTATTAATTACTTTAAAAGAGATTTAACAGACCAAACGGGTTTCCTTAAAACCTTCTGCTGCTAAACCACTCAGATTATATGGCTTACCAAAAATCCATAAAGGTGCACCCCTTCGTCCCATCGTCTCCACCATTGGCTCACCCACCTACAAACTAGCCCGATTTCTGATACCTTACAACCATTCACTGGTAAGACCACCTCAGCTGTACTTAACTCAGCTCACCTGTTATCGTCAATTAAAGACATCTCACTGTCCCCAGATTTGCTCGTTAGTTTTGATGTAGTTTCTTTGTTCACCAAAGTTCCTGTGCCAGATACCATTGCAATCATTTGAAGATTTGGTCCAACAAGGATTGAATGCTGATGTGCCGGCCCTGGTGAGACACTGCCTCACCAATACATACTTGACCTGGAACGGAACATTCTACAAACAAACTGAAGGCACCCCAATGGGTTCTCCCTTATCTCCGGCTGAAGCCAATATTTTCATGGAAAATTTTGAGATGGACGCCATCCAGGCATCCACTCTATGCCCATACTTTTGGAAGAGGTACGTGGATGATCCCTCAACCACATCAATTCCATATACCCAGCCATCAAATTCATCATGGAGGTAGAAAAGGATGGCATACTACCTTTCTTGGATGTCCAAAATCAAAAAGAGACCAAATGGCTCAATGAACCATTCTATCTCCTGGAAAGTAACCCATACTGATGCCTACCTAAAACCTGATTCCCACCACCATCCATCCCAGAAGAATTCCCTAATCAAAACGCTACACCATAGAGCTCAATCTATCTCCGACCATGAACACCTAACCAGTAAACTCAAACACGTACACCAAGCTCAAGGCGAATGTATATTCTGACAACACAATACGCAAAGCCATCAACCCAAACGTGAGGAAGGAGCCATCTGAGGATCCAATCAAATCCATCACCTTGCCATACATAGCAGAGGTAACCAAAAATATTTCCAAAATCATGAACACAAGATCCAGGTACAATGTAACACATTACATAAAATTCGTGATCCGATTCCATCTGTGAAGGATAAGATTCCTGACATGCAATATCCCGGCGTCTACAAACTAAGCTGTATCTGCAGTAGCAGTTACATTGGGGAAACTATGCGACATATCTCGGACCGTGTTCGTGAGCATAAGGCAGATTTGAAACACGGTAGGACCAATACTTCTGCCGTGGCTGATAATTATTTTAATGTGGCTGGTTCACACGAAATTGATTTTTCTAAGACGATGGTACTTTGCAAGCCTACTGGTTATCAACAAAGATTTGTTCATGAGGCCATACATATATCCAGACACAATTTCAACTGAGAGGATGGTTATAAACTCAGCAATCATTGGAAAGATGTCATCAGCCACTTTGGGACATGACTTGATTTGTTTTCTTGTCAACCTCCACCGTCAGCAGTGTGGGTATGTGCAGAGAGGTGCAATGATTGCCTGGCGGCCCTTTGATTGGAGTAGACCCACTGCGTTGGCATTGCTTTCTCCTACATTTAAATTATCTGCCCCGCCCATGCTGCTGACACACTTGGGCTACGCCCATCTCTAAACCATTATAAACAGTTTGCCTTTAGAGGCTAATCCCCTTTTCCTGATGACCACTTGTGTTGTGATCAAAACTTCGTGGTTTTTGTTTTTATTGATATCTTATTATATTTAAATTGCTGAAAAAACCAGTCTGTAATGTAGACTGTGGCCTGGTTCTTAATCTGAGTGAGCGTACTGGCAGTCTATTATGTAGAACAAGTCTACATTATAGACTGCCAGTACGCTCATGTAGAATAAATCTACATTATAGACTGCCAGTACACTCACTCCGATTAAGAACCAGGCTACAGTCTACATTAGTGTTTTTTTGTTTCTTATTAACTTTATTTTGTATTCATATTTTTCTATCTACGTGACTTTACCGAAAGAACCAAAGAATAACAATGTCCAATAGTTAATCTATACTAAGCATTACCTTATACATAACCAACACATTATAATGCTAAATTATGTTTAAACGTCACCCCTATTACTTGCGGATTGACAATACATCACTAATCCACTGCTATTACATGATATTTACAGAAAGTTCTTACCTACACTCACATGCACTCTTGTAATGAGGAGTGTGTTAATAAGGTGAATACCAGAGATTACTTGTCTCAAGCTCTTGGTTGCACATATTCCAAGACCCCATTTCACATGTGCTGGACCCTCCTACTCTCCTTTGTCCAAAAAGTCCACCCACACCTCCACATCCACAAACTGCTGGGGGTAGTCTCGCTCTCCCGCAGAGTCCGAATTCTCCTCCTGCTTCACGCTGCGTTGATCAACCTGGTCGGCGTATCTGGGAGTAGAATCTTCATATTCACATTTCACCTTCAATTCTTCACATTTCACTTCTTCACATTTCACTTTCACTCCTGACCACGTTGGAAAGCTGTTTTTTTTATCTGCTTCTTGTTTCATGCAAGATGGAATGATTGCAGGAGTTTGACTTTCAAATGGGGATTTCACTTTCCTCTCACTGTGGCTCTTCTCATGTCTAGTTCGCACTTCTGAAAATGAAAATGCTTTCCCACACACAGTGCACGTGAATGGCTTCTCAACCGTGTGTGTTCTCTTATGTTTCTGAAGATGTGTTGACTGTAAAAATGTCTTCTCACAGACGGTGCACTTAAAGGGCTTTTCACCTGTATGTGTTTTATGATGATTCTTAAGAGTTTTTGAATGAGCAAATGCCCTCCCGCACACAGTGCACTTGAAGGGCTTCTCACCCGTGTGTGTTCGCTGATGAATATGAAGAGTTTCTGAACGAGCAAATGATTTCCCACAAACAGTGCACATGAAGGGCTTCTCTCCTGAGTGCGTTCTCTGATGATTTTGAAGGTGTATTGACTGTAAAAATGTCTTTCTGCACACAATACACTTGAACGGCTTCTCGCCCGTGTGCGTTCTCTGATGTTGCTTCAAGTGTCCATTGCTATCCGTGCTGTATGAACAATGTCCACATTGGTGCCTTTTAGCACCGGGCTGTGTCGAGGCTCTCTCCTTCATGTGCTTGATTCTGCAGATATACATAACATTATACACACACATTAACAAGACAAGGATCCCCTTTATAGCTATAAAATACTGTTGGGGCAAGTCCTTTTAGCGAGCACCTATGAAGGTCTGCACGAGGGGGTGGGTGGCCAGCATCATGTCCGGCTGCCTTTGTCTCCCAATTGGCGATGCTTACACATAATTTTAGGATATGTAGACCTAGGTGAGGCCCAGGAACAGTTCGGTTCATCGTCACTGGTGTAGGCCCTGAGTAGGAGTTGAACTTGGGTCTTCGGGTTCAGAGCGCAGCACAACAACCACTCCACTACTGCTCCCCACATTACACACACACAGTACACTCACACAATATATGTACTTATTACACACTTGAACACAAAGTATGCCGACACGAGTATACCGACACAAAATATACTGTTTGTGCAAGTGTTGAAAGCACCCATTAATGCTGGCATGGCACACAGAGATGTAGTGTGGCCAAAACCATGCCCGGCTATTTTTGTCTCCCAATGATGTTTACAAACTGCACGAGGTACTCGTACAGAGATGGGATGATTGCACCACTGACTTTCAAATGGTGATTTCATTTTCCTCTTTTTGTGGATCTTGTCATGCCTAGTTCGCACTTCTGACCTTGTAAATGCCTTCTCACACGCATTGCACCTGAAGGGCTTCTCACCTGTGCGTGTTCTCTGGTGCTGCTTAAAGTGTTCAGTGCAATCCGTGCTGTATGAACACTGGCCACATTGGTGCCTTTTAGAACTAGACTGTGTCGAGGCTCTCCTCCATGTGATTTATTCTGCAGATATAAATACAAATTATACACAATATACACATACACATTGCAAATAACTCACATAGCCTTAGCAGACTGTTGGGGCAAGTACTTTTAAGCGAGCACCTAAGAAGGCCAGCACATAAGGATGTGCTGGCCTTCTTATGTGCTAGACAAAGGTGTGGGTGTTGACCATTCATCCCCTTGGATGAATGGTCAGCACCACATATTTGTCTACCCAGTGGCATAATGCATTAGGTACTGATTTGAGACTGAGTCGACTCAGGGAAGGCCCAGGACTGATTAATATAATCGTCACTTGTGTTGGCCGTGAGCAGGAATCGAACTCAGGTTTTTGGGATCATTGCGCAGCGCGCTAGCCACTGCACTACCGCTCCCCACTATACACACCTCTACACAGACACACAATACAGTCAATGAGTTAATGTGGTCGATTAACTACTACAGACACTACATATACACCAATACCCGCCATTCGCCACTAAGTGATGGTAACATCATGACAGCGCCTGTGCCAGGCCAGGGGCACTTTGAGGCTACGTGAAGTATCGAAGGCTCACTGACAGGAGGTCATGGGACAGACCGAGGTGCCATTGGTTGACTGAGATGAATGGCAGATGCATTAGCTGTGCCCCCTACTGTGTCAACATATACACACAACACTACACACAGAAAATACTCAATCACAATCAGTTAATGTAGCCAAATTAACTACTACAGATACTACATACTACACTACATACACAATACTCTTTCACACAATATTCACCCACACATAAAACACTACACACTGGGGAGACAAAAGCGGCCAGGCGTGGTGTTGCCACCTACCCTCATGTGCTTTGCTGGCCTTCATAAGTGCTCGCTAACAGCATTTGTCCAAACAGTCTGTTAAGGCTATACGGGGGATCTGTGTCTTTTTGTTTGTCCATGAAATGCTTACACGGCAAAGGCGCAACTGACTGCCTCGCATCCCTCGCCCGCCCCGCATCACGGTTTCAGCAACACAACACCATCACTTGAGAAGCTTCGAGTGATACTTCCGTGTATATCATCGAAAGGACAAAACTTACCACTTGTGATAACCAAATTGAAAAAACAGAATGCTTGACCGCGACAGGTCGAATCCGTGAACAATAAACCCATGAAAGCCAAGGGGTTTCTGAGCTCACTCGCAACGAGTTAATGTAGCCAGATAAACTACGACAGATAGTACATACACCCACAAAACTCACAAATACTATATACAATACTCACTCATACAATACAATCAAGGAGTTAATGAAGGCAATATTAACCCCTTCCCGTTCTGAGAAGTCTGCAAGTATCAAAGTAGGTCTTGTTCACTGCTGAATCTCGGAACGTGCAAGCGGTTAGCGTTAATTTAATTTAGAGAGGCGTAGCGCTGCTGTTTTTAAAGACATTGTACTGTACTCACCACAGAGAACCATAGCGACTTCGACTGTACTCTATGATAGCCAGCGCCAAACTGTATCACACACCCTCTGGCATGGCCATTTACTCGCGATTCCATTCAGAATCGATTTGATTCTGTTTGTAATAAATTATGTTCTGATGACGTAAACGTACGGAATCAAAAGAAAAACTTAAAAAGTCCACGTACGTCGTCGGAACGGGAAATGGTTTTAATAGGCTATATGGGGAGTCTGTCTTTGTCCGCAAGATGCTTGCACGGCAAAGGTTGAGGTGCCACTGACTGCCTCGCGTCCCTCGCCTGCCTCGCCCACGGTATGAGCCAATGATACAGTACTTCTTGATACAGTACTTCTTGGTACTGTATCCGCGTGAAAGGCCAAAACTAACCTTCGTGATATAAAAATTGGTATACAAAGAGGTTGCCCGCAATAGGTCAAAACCGCGAACAATAAACCTGTGATATTCAAGCATCTCCTGTACTGTGTGTGCATTGTACATGTATGTTGCGTGTGACTTGTGAGTGTGATTTGTAGTGTGCAAGTGTACTGTGAAGTAAACAAAATAAAAATTAAAAAAGACATTGGGGAGAACTGCAGAAAGGCAAAGGCACACATGGCAGCCACTTTAATGGCAATGTTAAAAAATTACCGTATAGAGTCAACATTACTTCATGTATAACCATCACATTTTTCGTGCAGATTATGAATAAACTCCTTTAAAAAAATTCTTTAAAAACAACGGTTTTATTAACAACTTCGTTTAACTCACGGTCGAGAAGTACGTCAATGGCGCCTGAGATACGCGGCGCCTGCTTTGTGTGCAAGCCGATTCCACAGTTTTTGACCTACACAAATATATATAAATAATAAGGTGTCCATACAAAATGTACATTGCTTTCAAGTAGCTAAATAATTGATTAATTGATGCCGATTTTGATACAGGCATGCTTTGTCACAGGACCTGAGTATGTGTGCAAAATGTGGAATTGATTGGACAACGGGAAGTGGACGAAATTTTGATTACAAGATTTGACGACGACAAACAGAGGAATCAAGTTAAGTAAAACCATTGAAAAAAGGCACTCCTTTGCAATGACATTTTACTACAACATAGATTGCATCAGATTTACTGAAAGCTCATGTCTGTGCTTTTCACGAACATGATGCTATTGCCTGTTACATGTTAACTTATGAATATAAAAAGAGAGGAACTGTGCAGACATCTCTTGGCAACTTTTTCAAGAGAGTAGAGAGGAAACACGAGCACCAAAGGGAGTTAGCATCTACATCTGCAGAACATAAAGAACTAGTGGCATCTACATCTGCAAAACATGAAAAACCAGTGGCATCTACATCTACAAGAGATTATACAATTTTTAAAGCCATTCGCCATGCTTAGTGTATATGCCGTACAAAATGTGTAGAGGAGTATTGTTAGCAACCACGAGGGGGCGAAGAGAGGGAAGTGCGAGCGAGTTGACAGCGGAGGATGACGTCCAATCACGGGTGCGGTAAGGGAGTACCCTTCGGGAACAAAGGCGGGTCCGAGCTAGGGGGAGGAGCGGCTAAAGGGGTACTTAAGGGGGACCCCCGTGATGAAGGCGGGGTCGTTGTGGGGAGCCAGGATAAGGATCGGCTGGAAGAGGTCTCTCCCTCCTCGTCGCCGGGCGGTGTTGGATGAACCCCCATCCCGTGCAGACGAGAAGGAGAGCGAAGGGGATAGCCGAGAGCAGGGCTCCGAGTATTGAGTAAGAACCAGCTGAGAGAGGGTTCTCTCTCCTCGTCGCTGGGCAGTGTTGGATGAACCCCCGTCCGGTGCAGACGAGCGAGAGAGCCCCAAGGGATAGCCGAGGGGAGGATAATAATAGAGTTCGGGGGTCCAGGATAAGGACCAAGAATAGAGAACACCTACCTCTGGTGTGAGTAAATGTCGTGTGAACAGTGTTAATAAACGGCATCAGCCCTTACAGTGAATTCCGTCTTCGCGTGGTTGTTCTGCACAACACGTTTGGAACCGACAGGAGTAAAGTTGGACTTAGGAACAAATAGACTTACGAACAGACCTCTGGAATCTAACTTGTTCTTCAGGAGACGAGGTCCTCTACAGTAATAATTGATTATCCAGCAGCTTCGGGGGGGAAGGGGGCACCAGATTTTAAAAAATGCCAGATAATCACATCATAATTTAAAATAGCTTATATTTTCACATTCTTTTATAACATTGTTTTAAGGTGTTGTGTACATGTGCTTTTTGTGTTTTAAAATGTTTTACTATCAAATTGGAATAAACATACAAAGACAAAAATAAATATCCTACTGTAAAAAGTTACTGTTTTTACTGTGCCGTACTTAGCATTCCAATCTCAAAACTATTGTTTCAACAACAGGTGTTTGATGATGGCCGAACTGATGCAACCTTGAGATCGGTGCTCCGTCGAATGCTGAATTACACGTCCTTTTTGCCGGATCATTATTTAAGATGCTGTATGTAGTGTATATTGTACTGTATATAATATTTGACACTAAAATCAAGCATAGCTACTTTTTTGTCACGCACAGTGCCGATGGCTGGACTAGTATAGCCTTTGAAGTGGTTTTGCCGGTTCTGTCAGATCTATATGACCACCACAGGGAGAAAATGTAGACTCCATTCACTCACACTCAATTAATCTTACTCACACAAACGAACACACTCACTCACACTCTTACTTACACAGATTAAGACACTTACAGACTAACACACTCAATGTCCCTCATAGACTAACACACTCTCAGACAGACTAACACTCAAACTAGCCCATTCACTCACTGCCACACTCACACACTCACACAACACAGACTAACACATTCACTGTCCCACTCACAACACTCACACAGACAAACAACAACCTCCGCCGCCATTCTCCACGAAGTGCCAGTTATGTCACCACGGCACTTGTGCCATGCTAGGTGCACTTTGAGGCCATGTGGCATGCCAAAGGCCCACTAGCAGAAGGTCATGGAACAGACCCAGGTTTATTGACTGAGATGAATGGCCGATGCACCGATTGTGACCACTGTGCCAACTCACTGCGTTTTAGCTGCCCGGCGCTCTGCTTGTTGTTGTGAGTGAAGCCCCTCTGCCCTCCGTTGTTGCTATCTGTGGAGGGAGCTGAAGGTTCGAGTTGCCAAACGACAGCCTCGAAACCTTAATGACTTGGAGAAGATCTGCAAAGAGGAGTGGGACAAAATCCCTCCTGAGATGTGTGCAAACCTGGTGGCCAACTACAAGAAACGTCTGACCTCTGTGATTGCCAACAAGGGTTTTGTCACCAAGTACTAAGTCATGTTTTGCAGAGGGGTCAAATACTTATTTCCCTCATTAAAATGCAAATCAATTTATAACATTTTTGACATGCGTTTTACTGGATTTTTTTGTTGTTATTCTGTCTCTCACTGTTCAAATAAACTTACCATTAAAATTATAGACTGATTATTTCTTTGTCAGTGGGCAAACGTACAAAATCAGCAGGCGATCAAATACTTTTTTCCCTCACTGTATTCTTATTATGATGAGATGCAGGTCATGTAAAAATTCTCTACACCTCAGCTGTAGCATACGGACTGAGAAAATGGCATCAGTGCAGGACTGCCCTGGTCTGAAATTACATTGGGGCCTCCGCAAGCTTCTCCTTAGTATGTCTGGCAAGGTGATGTTTAATAATTCTTGCCAGGAACAAACACTCACTCACAGAGAATAACACACACATTCAATCACACACTCAGTCAAACCACGAACATAGTCAAATCCACTCACTCACAAGATCCCTTGTATAGCTGCCATTGTCTCCCTAGTGGCAATGTTTATTACACACCGCACCAGGTATTCATTTCAGTCTGAGTCAACCTAGGGGAGGCCAAGGACTGGTTTAGATTATCGTCGCTGGTGTTGGACATGAGTTGGAATCGAACTCGGGTAGCCAGGTTCGTAGAACAGCGCGATAACCGCTAAACTACCGCTCCGTACACTGACTAACACACTCGCTCAATCACACACCCACTCACAGTCTGCAGAGCAGGGTGTGAACATAAACACTCAAAATATATTATTTGGGTCTTTTGGTAAAGTCACGTAAATAGGTTCAAAGAAAATAACAAAAACCAAAAACTACGACATTTCGATCGCAACACCAGCGTTCGTTATCAGGAAGAGGGGGTTTGGTTCTAAAGGGTTAGCTTCTAAAGGTAAACTGTTTATAAATGAGCGTAGCCCAAATGTCAACAGCCAATGTTAATGTAAGAGGTGGGCAGCGACTGCGACGGTGGTGGGTTTTCCTATAAATCAAAGGGCTGCTCGGTAAAAATTAGCATGATAATTTAAGATCGTTCAGTAGCTTCCACGGCGGGCACCCTGAGCTGGCTATGTTAATGTGAGAGATTAGCATGTTAATGGCAGATCGCAAAGCAAAAACCTCGAGCTCGGTGAGCGAGGTGGCTGTGTTAGGGTGAGAAATTGAACCTGTTAATTTAACATCAGAGAGCCTAAAATAACAACTAACATCGGAAGGTGGTAGGATGGGAACATCACAGCCAGTTACGACTTAAACTGATTCATAACGTCCTTCCAATGATTGCTTAGTTTATGTCCATCTTGTCGATTGAAATGGTGTCTGTGTCTATATATATGGATGGCTTCATGAAGAAATCTTTGTTGATAGCCAGTGGGTTTGCAAAGTACCTTCGTCTTAGAGAAATAAATTTCGTGTGAGCCCACCGCATTAAAACAATGATCAGCCACGGCCGAGGTATTGGTCCTACTATGTTTCAGATCTGCCTTATGTTCACGAACACGGTCCGAGACATGTCGCTTTGTTTCCCCAATGTAACTACTGCCGCAGACACAGCTTAGTTTGTAGACGCCAGGGTATTGCATGGCAGGGATCACATCCTTCACAGATGGGATCAGATCACAAATTTTATGTACTGATCTAAATCGCACCTGGATCTTGTGTTTGCTCATGCTTTTGGAAATATTTTTGGTGACCCCTGCTATGTATGGCAAGGTGATGGTTCTGATTGGGTCCTCAGATGGTTCCTTCCCAACGGTTGGGGTGATAGCTTTATGGGTTGTGTAGTCTGAATATCCATTCATCTTGAGAGCCTGGTGTACGTGTTTCAGTTCACTGGCTAGGTGATGATGGTCGGAAATACATCGAGCTCTATGGTGTAGAGTTTTGATGAGGAAATTCTTCTGGGAAGGATGGTGGTGGGAGTCAGGTTTTAGATATGAATCCGTATGGGTGGCTTTCCTGTAGACAGAGTGTCCCATTGAGCCATCTGGTCTCCTTTCGATTAAAACATCCAAGAATGGTAGCTTGCCATCTTTTTCCACCTCCATGGTGAATTTGATGGCTTGGTGTATGGAATTTATGTGGTTGAGGAATTGGTTCAGAGCTGGTCGGCCATGTGGCCAGATGACGAACATGTCATCCACGAACCTCTTCCACAAGGATGGACGTAGAGTGGATGCTTGGATGGCATCAGTCTCAAATTTAATTTTTACCAGGCAGCCCTTTGATTGGTGGGAAAACCCACCACCGTCGCGGTCGCTGCCCACCACTTACATTAACATTGGCTGCTGACATTTGGGCTACGCCCATTTCAAACATTTATAAACAGTTTACCTTTAGAAGCTAACCCTTTAGAAGCTAACCCCCTCTTCTGGATGATGAACGCTTGTGTTGCAATCGAAACAACGTAGTTTTTTGTTACTTTCTTTGAACCTATCTATGTGACTTTACCGAAAGACCATAAGAATATGGGTGAGTGGGTGGGCGGGAGAGTGGGTGGGCGGGTGAGTGGGGTGGCGGGTGAATGGGTTGGCGGGTGGGTGAGTGAGCAGGTGGGTGAGTGAGCGGTTAGGTGAGTGAGCGGGTAGGTGAGCAGGTGAGTGGCTTGGTGAGTGGGTTGGTGAGTGGGTTGGTGAGTGAGTGGATGGGTGAGTGGATGGGTGAGTGGGTGAAAGGGTGGGTGGAAGGGTGGGTGGGTGAATGGGTGGTTGGTGAGTGGGTTGGTGAGTGGGTTGGTGAATAGGTGGGTGAGTGGGTTGGTTATTGAGTGGGTAAATGGGAGAGTGGGTGAATGGATTAGTGGGTGGTTAGTGAGTGGGTAAGTTAATGGGTGAGTGGGTGGGCGAGCAGGTGCGTGGGCGAGGAGGTGTTTGGGTGATTAGGTGGGTGGGCGAGTAGGTGGATGGGTGGGTGAGTAGGTGGATAATAGGGTGGGTGAATGGGTGAGTTGGTGGGTATATGAGTGGGTAGGTGAATGGGTGAGTGGGTGAGTGAATGGGTGGGTGAGTGGGTGGGTGAGTGAATGGGTTAGTGGGTGAATGGGTGGGTGGGTGAGTGGGTAGGTGAGTGGGTGGGCAGGTGAATGGGTGGGTGAATGGGTAAGTTGGTGGGTATATAAGTGGGTAGGTGAATGGGTGAGTGGGTGGGTGAATGGGTGAGTGGGTGGGTGATTGGGTGAGTGAATGGGTGAGTGAGTGAGTGAATGGGTGAGTGGGTGAATGGGTTAGAGGGTGAATGGGTGGGTGGGTGAGTGGGTGTGTTAATGGGTGGGTGGGTGAATGGGTGGGTGTGTTAATGGGTGTGTGTGTGAATGGGTGGGTGGGTGAATGGGTGGGTGAATGGGTGGGTGGGTGAATGGGTGAGTTGGTGGGTATATGAGTGGGTAGGTGAATGGGTGAGTGGGTGAATGGGTGGGTGGGTGAATGGGTGGGTGAATGGGTGGGTAAATGGGTGGATGAATGGGTGAGTGGTGGGTGAGTAGGTGGGTGAGTGGGTGGGTGATTGGGTGAGTGAATGGGTTAGTGGGTGAATGGGCGGGTGGGTGAATGGGTGGGCGAGTAGGTGGGAGGGTGAGTAGGTGAGCGGGTTGGTGAGTGAGCAGGTAGGTGAGTGAGCAGGTGAGTGGGTTCATGAGTAAGTGGGTTGGTGAGCGAGTGGGTGGGTGAATGGGTGAGTGGGTGGGTGAATGGGTGAGTGAATGGGTGGGTGAGTGAGTGGATGCGTGAGTTGGTGGGTGAGTGGGTGGGTGAGTCGGTGGGTGAGTGAATTGGATAGTGGGTGAATGGGTGGGTGGGTGAATGGGTGGGTGGGTGAATGGGTTAGTGGGTGAATGGGTGGTTGAATGGGTGGGTGAATGGGTGGGTGTGTGAATGGGTTAGTGGGTGAATGGGTGGGTGTGTGAATGGGTTGGTGGGTGAATGGGTGGGTGAATCGGTGAGTTGGTGGGTATATGAGTGGGTAGGTGAATGGGTGAGTGGGTCGGTGAGTGGGTGGGTGAATGGTTGAGTGAATGGGTGAGTGGGTGGGTGAGTGGGTAGGTGAGTGAATGGGTTAGTGGGTGAATGGGTGGGTGTGTGAATGGGTGGGTGGGTGAATGGGTGGGCGGGTGAATGGGTGGGTGAATGAGTGGGTAAATAGGTGGGTAGGAGAATGGATGGGTGGGTGGATAGGTGAATGGGTGGGTGAATAGGTGGGTGGGTGAATGCGTGGGTGGGTGAATGTGTGGGTGGATGGGTGGGTGAATGTGTGGGTGGGTGAATGGATGGGTGAATAGGTGGGTGGGTGAATGGGTGGATGGGTGAATGGGTGGATGAATGGGTGGGTGAATGGGTGAGTTGGTGGGTGAATGGGTGAGTTGGTGGGTATATGAGTGGGTAGGTGAATGGCTGAGTGGGTGGGTGAGTAGGTGGGTGAGTGGGTGGGTGATTGGGTGGGTGATTGGGTGAGTGGTTGGGTGAATAGGTGAGTGGGTGGGTGAGTGAATGGGTGGGTGAATGGGTGAGTTAGTGGGTATATGAGTCGGTAGGTGAATGGGTGGGTGGGTGAATGGGTGAGTGGGTGGGTGAGTGGGTTAGTGGGTGAATGGGTGAATGGGTGGGTGTGTGAATGGGTGGGTGTGTGAATGGGTGGGTGAATGGGTGGGCGGGTGAATGGGTGGGTGGGTGAATGGGTGGGTGGGTGAATGGGTGAGTTGGTGGGTATATGAGTGGGTAGGTGAATGAGTGAGTGGGTGGGTGGGTGAATGCGTGGGTGGGTGAATACGTGGGTGGGTGAATGCGTGGGTGGGTGAATGCGTGGGTGGGTGAATGCGTGGGTGGGTGAATAGGTGGGTGGGTGAATGTGTGGGTGAATGGGTGGGTGAATGGGTGGGTGAATGGGTGAGTTGGTGGGTATATGAGTGGGTGGGTGAGTGGGTGGGTGAATGGGTAAGTGGGTGGGTGAGTGGGTAGGTGAGTGAATGGGTTAGTGGGTGAATGGGTGGGTGAATGGATGGGTGTGTGAATGGGTGGGTGTGTGAATGGGTGGGTGGGTGAATGGGTGGGTGGGTGAATGGGTGGGCGGGTGAATGGGTGGGTGGGAGAATGGGTGAGTTGGTGGGTGAATGCGTGGGTGAATGGGTGGGTGAATAGGTGGGTAGGTGAATGGGTGGGTGGTTGAATGTGTGGGTGAATAGGTGGGTGGGTGAATGCGTGGGTGAATGGGTGGGTGAATAGGTGGGTGGGTGAATGCGTGGGTGAATGGGGGTGTTGGTGGGTGAATGGGTGAGTTGGTGGGTGAATGGGTGAGTTGGTGGGTATATGAGTCGGTAGGTGAATGGGTGGGTGGGTGAGTTAGTTGGTGGGTGGGTGAATGGGTGACTTAGTTGGTGGGTAAATGGGTGAGTTGGTGGGTGGGTTAATGGGCGAGTTGGTGGGTGGGTGAATGGGTGAGTTGGTGGCTATGTGAGTGGGTGAGTGGGTGGGTGAGTTAGTTGGTGGGTGAATGGGTGAGTGAATGGGTGAGTGGGTGGGTGGGTGAGTTGGTGGGTGAGTTGGTGGGTGGGTGAGTTGGTGGGTGGGTGAGTTGGTGGGTGAGTTGGTGAGTTGGTGGGTGAGTTGGTGAGTTGGTGGGTGAGTTGGTGAGTTGGTGGGTGAGTTGGTGGGTGGGTGAGTTGGTGGGTGGGTGAGTTGGTGGGTGGGTGAGTATAATAGTGGAATGTTTTGATGTCTGATTCGGAGTTAAACTACTGGACTGGTGGCATCCAAACATTCCAATACTGAAAAAGTTCCTGCAGATTACTCAATCGAGGATTACGCGCAGAAGCACCCCCCCCCCAACCGACTGCAAAACCAACTGGGCAGGACGCTTCTGAATTAGAGTAATGAGACTTAGTGAGTTAAAGTAGTCAGCCAGGTGAACACTAATTTAATTTAAAAAGAAAATGTAAGCAAATTAAACCAAGCGAAGGCAAGCCCTGCATGGCTAGGCCTCGCGTTGCAATGTTCTAACCTAGACATCGATTCCATACTTGCTGATACTCAATTGATATCCCTACGAGAGAGAAGAAGCGATACTTTACCCGGGTAAACAACAACAACAACAACCACCACATTGTGAATATCTCACCTCGGAACTCAACGAGTGACGGGAAGAGCTGCAGCTCCTCGGATCTCGTGATCTCAGGCCAAAGGGAGTGGCGGGGGAGATGACATGACGTCACCAGCGGGCGACAACCCCTCCCTCCGCGGAGCGGCGGCGTAACTAAACATATTATATTTTAATTATATTATTGTATTAGACCAAACCCATATATAGAGTGAGTGTGGTTGGCTTTGCCCAATTAAGTATTTTATCGAAACATGAATCGACAGTAACCAAACAGACATTACGTCACGCGCAGGAGCGCGGTGGGCGGGGAATTCCTTCATAACATGACGTAATAGCTGGCTACATTTCACCCTGGCGTCTCGCGCCGATGACGTGACACGGAGTGGGAACGTCAGAGACCAGGAGAGAGCGGGGTCAGGCGGTGATTGTGGTGAGGAGTGTTTTTAGAGTTTAATTTTACGTAGATTACTTTTACATTTCTTCCTCTATTATACAGAGATCCCTTGGGTGCCTGAGCTCAGCAATAACGTGAACATTATTGTGTGTGTACACTGTACATTATGTGTAGGCTATGTGTGTGTACAGTGCGTGTTTACACTGTGTGGTGGGCAGTCCGGGTAAAGCTACATGGCTGGGAGTCGGCCATTCCCTGTTCACCTTGGGGTGGAAGAGGAATGTCCTCTCGCTCCTACATTATTTAACATTGTGTAGGGGACTGAACAGAGAAAGTGCTAAAAGGCACGCGTTGAGATAATTGGATACAGGTGGCCGGAAGGCAGTGTAATCGTTATTCAATCAAGGACACACGTGTCAGAGTAAAGTGGGGTGGCCACCATCCTACAGGGGCGGGACTGACCGAGTATCTGAGGGGGAGCGAGGCGCGCAATCGGGGCGCTTGCTTTGGAACGAATCGACGACCAAGGTGTAAACCATTGGGACTGACTGCTCAAGAAACAACTTGGTATAAACCATTGGGCTAAAGATAGCCGTAATAATTACGAGTGTGGCGGTTGTTACACTCGGAACTGTAAATACATTACACTAGTGGCAGTGGTGGGAAGCAGTCTACGGTATCCCAAAAGAAGACTGGCAGAGAAGCTCCCTTGGAGGAAGAAGTGTCGTCCCTAAGCACCCTGGGTCCCTGAGAACCAAAACCCAGTGTAAGCCGGACCCTGTTGGCATGTACGTTCCAAAAAGAGATAAAGACCCCGCCTCAGACCGGGGGAACCAGAATCGCCGAGACAGGAGAACTGGCAATTGATCGGCTGCTGACGGCGAACGTTGAAGCAAGGGGAAGGAAGAGCCGATGCCGCTGCCTCCACCCACCACGTGGCAAGCTGAAGCTCCGGGGATGCAGCCGCCGCCTCACCTCACAGTGCAGCGAACAGACACACCTGAGCTAGAGCCGCCGCCACTCGACATGTGGTGAGTTAGGGCTCCGGGGAGGCAGCAGTGGCCACTCCTCACGGAGCCGATCAACCTGTTTGGCCGCTGTTACAAGCTGCATCACGGACCTCGACCACCTTGTCCACGCAGGAGCTACGCCCAACGGGGATCCCGGATGGAGATGTGTCGCACGAGATACCACCGCGGACCTTCACTGAACCAACCTGAGGTCCGGCGGAGCGCACACACGAAGGCTGGGTCCCATGAAGGAATTTACGGCGACCGGAGGTGATTGGGTGGCATTTGTCAAAGGATTCGAAGCTACCATCAAAGTCCGCAGATGGAGCGAGAAGGAGGCCCTTCGAGAGCTGCCCACGGTGTTCGACAATGGAGCGCATGGCGGCCTTCTGCACGATTTCTGAGAATCAGCGTCCCACACTACGACAGGCCTACGAGGGGATGGCAGAGATGTTCTGCCCTTTGTCTCGCGTAAGGCATCGATTTTCATCGCGGCGGAGAGGAGGTAATGAGTCACTGATGGCATACTGTAGCGCCTGGTTGGCACTCCCAATTGTGTTCCCGCAGATGGATGAGGTTGCCCGGGACGTGCTGTTGGCAGAGCGGATATGAGGCCTCATCCATCGGAGCGGCTTTGCGTTACCGATTGCGCCAGAGAGCTAATAGATTTTGATGTGCTTCGTTAAGTGCCTCCGAGCACACGAAGAAGGAAGAGCGCCATTTTAGATGGTAGCACAGGTGTCAAAAATGATGGAGAACGGAGGAGCCAGAGGACCAGCGGAGCCAACAGAAACAGCAACGACAGTGGCCACTGCCGGGCCCAGCATGGGTAATGATCTTAAGGCGACCTTGGAGTAGATGGCAGCGGCCATCCGGGAATTCGGCAGTCCAAGGCATGATCAAGAGCGGCAGCGACCATGGCAGACCCACGGGGGGAGGCCGGGCCACATCGCAAGAAGATGCCAGGGTAAAGTCAACCCGAGACAACCAAGCCAGCTCTGGACAACATCACGTGACTTCCCAAGAAAGAATCGGGCTAGCTGCGACACCCCCGACACCCGGCCAGACCATACACACATCATCAAAACCCTCATCACCATTTACACCTGCACACCACTCGATCACGGTGACCCACGGCGACCCAGGGAAAATTTAGACAACATCTAAATAAAAATGGAAAAAACTTGCGAGACGGGTTGTAGCAGTGGTCATGGGGTTATTGGTACTAACAGGAACGATAGGGGGAAATCCCGTAGGGGTGTTGGTCGACACGGGAGCATCAGTCACCATTATTTCTGCGCTCGTGTTCGATATGTTACCAACAGTTAAATGCCGCCTAGAACGGGTTTATAGTAAATTTGTTGCGGCAAACGACGGTAGCTTGGGAATTGTCGGTAAAGTTAAAACAAATCCACATCGAAAAAATTAGTTTATTGGGCCCGGTATTGGTCGATTCGTCCCTAACAATACCATGCTTATTGAGAACCGATTATTTAAGTCGGCTACCCATTATAATACTGATGGACCAGGGCTGTATAGAGATTCCATTGGGAGGATGTATTTTTTGCGGCCTGACGCAGACAGGGAAGGCCACCAGAATAAACACACTGGTGGGAGAGTCGATGATGATTCCGCCACTAGCACAGGCGTTGGTCCCCTTGCGATATCGATCACCATTAATTACCTCATGGACAGACACGCCGATTATAGTGTCACCACTAGTACCAAGTTTATTCGGTATTCATTAGTGGTGGCGGACACCATTTTAAGACGGAACCAACGATTGTGCATACAGGTTTTGAACACATAGGAGCATGCGATTGCACTGCGAGAAGCAAAGGTAACAGCCTAAATTTCTCCAGCAAGTGAAATACTGGAGGATGAAGTGGTTGCGGAGATACAAGAAGTGATGGATGGGGTAGGGTCCCCCTGGGCGGAGGAAATCATTCAGCGGAACCTTGAGTTGACTCAAGCTGAAAGAGACCGACTTAAAAGTCTCCTTCACGAATTTGATGATATTTTCAGTAAGGGCCTGCATTATCTAGGGTATACTGACTTGATGCAGCACAACATTGAAATGGGGAGTGCTCAACCCATAAGACAGAACTCGTATAGAGTGGGACCGACAGAAAAGGAGCAGATCCGTCGAGCTACAGACGAGATGTTAAGAGCAGAGATAATTTCTCCATCGACTAGCTCCTGGGGAGCACCAATAGTACTGGGTAAAAAGCCAGATGGCTCCATGAGGTTTTGCGTTGATTTTCGGTGACTAAATAAAGTTATGATTGTGGACGCGTATCCCCTGCTCTGTATTAATGACTCACCGGACGCATTAGTGGGAGCTAAATATTTTACTATGTTGGATCTGTCATCAGGATTTTGGCAGCTCCCCCTGGATGATGAATCCAAATTAAAGACGGCTTTTCGGACACCGCCTCATGGAACTAGTACTATTGGACCTACAATGGGAGATATGTTTCATCTATTTGGATGACGTCATTTTATTTAGTAGGTCGTTTGAGGAACACCTGGTGAGATTACAACAAGTTTTCTTAAATATGCGAGCTACTAGACTGAAACTGAAACCATCAAAATCTCATTTTGTACAGAGTTCCTTTAAATATTTGAGATATGTCGTCAGCGGGAAGGGTGTAGCAACAGAGCTGGTTCGCTACCATAGTGAAACCCTTGCACACCCTCACCAAAAGGGGTGTGATTCCGGTGGGGGGAGGAAGAAGAATCGGTACTTCAAGTGCTTTGTTCGAGGTTGACTGATGCTCCCACACTAGCATATCCGTATTTTTCACTACTGTTCATTCTAGATACTGATGCTAGTGATGTCGGTATGGTGCTGTGTTTTCACAAATACAAAGGAAGTGGTAATTGCATACGGTATCGCATGCACTTCACCGCTCCCTGACTCGCCGGAACAGGTGACGTCAATAAATGCAGCAATACAGTGGTACCCCGGAGATCGAACTTAATTCGTTCCAGAAGGCCATTCGAAGACCGAATTAATATTCCTCTTAAGAATTAATGTAAATTACATTAATTGGTTCCAGATACAAGAAATTTCTCATTATAAAGCATTTTTCACGAAGTTTACAGTCATTACATGCATAAAATCATACAAAAAAACAAGAAACAGTAAATAAATGGAATAAATATATGGAATAAATGAACATTGAACTTCACTTTACCTGTAGTAAGGAGAGTTGATGGCTTGGGGGAAGGTGGTGAGGAGGAGGAGGTGGTGGTGTTATTGTTTGGAAGGGGAGTCCCCTTCCAAATAATGTCGGGTAACTGCCCTTCTGGGGTTCTTTCTCTTTTGTGCCTCTTTTCTACCACTAACTGTGAGTCACTTGAGCTCTTTCTGACTTAAAACTTATCTAAAGAGGTTTGTTTCTGCCTTCGTTTTAGGATGTTTCGAAAATAATACCGAAATATCGTTCAAACACCGATTTGTTCGAGTTCTGGTGCGTTCGATCTCCGAGGTTCTACTGTATATGAAATTGATCTTGCCACCCTTAGATCATGATCCTGGGCTGATAAGGATCACATGGATCAGACTACAGAAAGATGATGACTCACTGGAGTCCTTTGCTGCATTAGCAGCTGAATCTGCTAAAAATGGTCAAGCAGGGGCACCATTTGTAAAATGGCGAGGCTTTTTGATGAGGTG